AGCCACAGTGTATTGGTACGGGGGAACCAATTCCGTTGCTCTCTCGTAGAGGTACATCCTGATAACCGCGTCTTGTCCTGATTCAACACCTAATAATCCTGCCAAAAGCTACAAAAGAAAAAAAAGTATTATTTGCAATGAGGGGTCCCAAATTGGAGAAAAATTAAGGGCATGTTGTTTTTCGACTAGTATGTAGTTTTTTCTAAGGCAATTTACTATTTCTAGTTTCCCATCCTTGGCATATAGGAAATTACACCCAATGACTTTTAAAATGAACTTTTGACTCTGTTTGACTCATGAACAGACCTTCAAGATTAAAAGTTAAAAAATGTTATACCTAAAGGTTTACCCGTAGGCCATAGGACAGCCAAGTCAAAAGTTCAAGATCACACACCTCATCCTGGAGGGGATGCGGAGGATTAATACATATATATTTACTTACCCTTTTGGTTTCGTAGCCATTGATATTGGGATTTGTACCAACATAACCAACCAATCCAACATATGGAATTACATAGCAAGATAACATATAGCTCATACTGTCTCTGTATGGATCAAATGGAGGTACCAATTTGTGCCCAAAAGCATCGTCAAATATCTTTGCAAAATTTTTAGCACTAAGATCTAACAAAGGTCTTGGAAAAACACCAACTGTCGAGTTAAGTGACCTGCAACACAACCAAACACACATTACACAACCTAATTACATATAAATACTTCGCACCATGGTACATATAACTTAGCTTTCGTTTGAACATGCAATTTAATATCATGGTTTGAAATTTGGATATGCGACGTCAATGCTCCAAATTATTCATGATTCCGAATTTCAATTTTTTAAAATGCAAAATTTGAATTCACCTTAGATGACCAACTTCTTGATTAGCAAACTCCATAATAATATTGTTGGTAAGTTGATCAAGATTTGCTTTTCTAGCACCAATAGGAGGTGGCCCAGACATAGGCAAATTTGGTGCAACTACATCAAGCCCAAATCCATAAGAAGCCCATAAAAAGTACTCTGCTTCTAAAAACTCTAAGTTCACTGCAAATTGCATTTTGTCTATATCTTCTTTCTCCACTCCCACTCCCTCCTTTGGGTACCCTGATGGACAATTAGTGTTTGTTGTATATGAAAATGACATCAAGAAAATTTCACTAAGGACCATGTAAGTCACTAAGAAATGGATAAAGAGTAATTTAAAAGACATAATTAAGCTTAATGTAGAACAAGAAAAGGGTGTTTTTAATTCAAGATGTTGTAAATGTGTGCTTTTTTGTTTGATATATATACTAGTAATATTAGTTGGAAGCTTATTCGGGAAACACCAAGAACAAGGTCCTCATTCATCTCTCCTCTCCTAAACGATTCCTAAAAATGTGAAAGTTCAGATACTCAATAAATAGCGCTACTAATATTTTTCCAACCCTGTCTGATGTGGATTGTGAGGATCATGTATTTGCCGAAAGGTAAAAAAATGTCATTTTAGGAAAATAAGGAAGGTTTTTATTTATTTTCTTATATTGTATACCTGGGCGGATCTAGCCTTATGGGTGGGTGCCACGGCACCCAGTGACCTCGGTTAAAACTTTGTATATATATGTGTATGAGTATAACAAAATGAATATATATTACATCTGCCACCCAATGAATAATATGTTAAATGGTGCAACTGGCAAAGGATGTAACTTTAAATGTAAGTGTCGAGTGTTCAAATCTCTTTTGCAGCACTAACTTTTTTTATTCTTTGCTTGTGTGAATGACTTTCAAGCTCTTCCTCTTTTTTTGTCTTTAGTTTAGTTTCTCGCCAATTTTTTTGTCTTTTGCTTTAGTTTCTCGCTCCCCTCAATTAGTTCCTTTATTTGCGACTCCTTGCTTATTTATCTATCTTTAATTGATATGAGTGTTGCCTGATTTTCTATATTAATTACAGATTAATATAGAATTTTGAACGTCACATAGAATATTAATAAAAATATACTTAAATAGATTTTATTTTTTTTGAAAAAGTTTTTAAAATGATGGATATTATTATGTTAAAGTTTTTTGAATTTAAAGGTTCTTTCAATCTTTAACGTCACACTAAGTGGAGATAACTAGATTGAAGCTATAATTTTTATTTTTTTCTCAACTATATGGTATTAGATTATGTATACAAATTTGAATTTTTAAGGTGAAAAATCTTTTGTTTTCTCAAAGTTATAGAGAATAAGGTATCTTATTCCTAAAAAAAATATCAAAAAACACACTATTTAGGTGTATATCTTTAATATTAGAAAATTTAAAAGAATTTTTTTTTTACTAAGTATGTATATTTGATCAATGTATTTATAGAAATCGAAAAAACTAAATAACCCGAATCATAATCTAAATGAAAAAATCGATCCATTTACCATTTAGATGATATGGCACCCCTAACCTTCGAATCTTGAATCCGCTCGTATATATGAAGATACGTATACCGTTATATACTTATATATTCATGGACCAATATTAGGACAATCATAATTCCACTACATTAATTTTTGAATAATACTAATGAAGCAATATTAGGACAATGATATTATTACCAAAAGATTCCAAGCAAAATAATTGTGTTCATTAATTACTGCCAACACATTGCCACCACGCATATATCCCACATGTTGAATTAGTAATACACTCTTTCTGTTTTGATTTGTTTTGTTTATTTTTTAGCTCTTTTTTTAGTCCATTAAAAAGGTATGTGGATTTTTTTTTATTTTATGCGATTTGTTTTTTTTAAAATTCTAACTTTCCAGTGTTAATATAATATTTTAAGAGTTAAAAGACCACAAGATTAAAGGGATATTTTGATACATTTTCATATTTTTAATTTAAGATCATAAGAATCAATAATCTTATTTATTTTGTTAAACTCCGTTATTGTCTAGTCAAAATTTAAAAAAAAAAAAAAATTAAAACGAAAAATGTACCGATAGACTAGTTTTTGGATTATATCACCCGTTGCCTTAAGATTTTGAATTACAGAAAAATAATACATAAAAAGACACGTTTTTCCACCCCTGCAAGAAGACAATGTCTATTAATCTTGGTTGATGTGGTCTATGTTGCACCATAAAGTTTTTCATCCATTTATCATATGTGGATACTTTGTTGAGTCTATTGCCTTGTAATTTGCAGCTATTTTCATGGTCCATAGCTACAACTACAAGGAAAAAAAGTATTATCACAGGCGGCTCAATAAAATTAGTGACTTAAAAGCTAAATTTTAAATTTTGTAACAGTGGGACAGACATTTATTTTTCTTCGGAGAATTTAACCCTCGTGCCGAGGCTCTTTGGGAAGGGTGTTTTGGCATATGATGGGATTGTGAGGCCGTGTCTCATTTATGTATTGAAGAATGATGATAAACTCACATATTGGCTTTCCGTCATGAATTAGCACTGGAACTAACTGTCTTCTCAATAGGATTCATTTCCAGTTTCAATGTGATTTTGTTCATTAATTTAATTATATCGTATTGTATTGTCTCTAGTTAGCCAATTCTTGTGTTTTATCTAGAAAGTCTAAGATAACGCGATCGAGTAGGTTGAAACAAGTGGTAACAAACAATGAACTAGTTAGTGTAAGAGACTAAACAGAATAAGTAATTTTCATCCATTTAGACTGATAAAATTAGTTCATCAAATAGAAACATTACAGTGGTTCGTCCTGCATTTTCACTTCTTTAGACAAAACAGAGTTTGAAGTATGTCTGGACAACATGAACTCCTCGAACGTTCCTGAAAATATATAATGGAAATGATTTAACATTATTCGTGAATTTTAGACAAATTTGTTAATCGTAAATGAATAATTCTTACTTTGTTAGAATCATTGGTTTGATAAGCCTTCTCCATCTCCCTGCCTAATCCCATCCAAACTTCAGAACCTATTTCATTTTCCAGAGTAACATAGGCAACATTCAATTTCTCCTTAGTTTCCACTGATCCGGTCTGTTCTTCGTTTAGTTGCTGAGACTTTGCAAGATCAATGGAAAAGCATTGATCACTGAATTGATAACTCGGGGTTTGTTGAGCTTGATGATGAAGTTGATCTTGACTAACGCTGGTTTCCTCTGTTCCCTTCATGTATATTGATAGTAATTCCATCAACTCATCGCATTTATCACCATTTTTTTCTGTTTTTCTTTCATCAATATGTGTAATAGAACATGAAATATGTGCATCAAATTCACAAGAGCTGCAATGATAAAGCCACCCTTTATAACTAGGCTTTTTGCATAAGTCACATTCGAAATCATAAGGAGGACAAAATTCTAAGTCCAGTTTATGGCAATGAGATGGCAATTCCATTGAAAGAGGTAATGCTAATAAACATAGTGTGTGATAATAAGTAGAACATTTGGTACACGCGTAAGAAAATCCCAAGATTTCTTTTCTACACGCGTTGCATTTTGATGAAGAAGGTACTGTGGTTAGTAGAGTGAGATGGTGGATTGGATCCACTAGATGCTGCAAACTTTTGGGCATATTGAAGCATTCTTGATGAAGGAAAAATGAACACGTACTTTTACATTTGTAGTAGAATTTACCAGGCAATATATTGAGTTTACATCCAGAGCAAATTGCATTACTTTGCTTATTGATGTACACAAATTGATGTCCATGACTAAAATGTTTGAATACACTATTCTCCTCTGTGTTTCCCATCATTAAGTACCAAAATCCCCTTCTTTCTTCCTCATTAAAGGCGCTTTGAGCACCAAGTGTTTGTTTTTTTTATGTTGTTAGCTTTTTCTTGGAGGCAACGGTGCTGAAATATTCAACTGTCTTGTTACAAGAAAAATGCAGCTATCAAGTAGCTTTAACCTAAGTTTATATTCCTAAAATCTGAATAAAGGACATATAAAATGCCTCTACTAAAGATGCCTTAACAACAAGAGAGTACATTTTACAATGGAACATAACCAATTGTTTTTTTGGAAGAGTTTGCTTGTATGTAACCAAAACATAGAGACACCAGAAAAGTTATTTTAATTTATTCAGCTTATGAGTTCGGAATCCATAAACTTGTCTACATAATTTAGTTTAACGCTAGAACTCCAGACTTGTACCAACCGAACACTTGTACTACTCAAAATATATGTACTTAATAGATACAAAATTTAAATAAAATAAGTAATAATTTTCATCGTATCGAACACCTCTTAATCTTTTTCAATTTGCACCAGCCAAGGCTGCAGCATCTTTGAATCCCCTAAAAACAGCTTTGACAACATCAGGTGTAGGAAGACTTTGTTGAATAATAGGAAGTTGAATGAAATTGTTGATCCATGCATGTAGACAAGGGTATTTTGTTGAATCCATTGCTTTGAATTCACCAATTTCTTCAATATATTGGAACCAATAAGCAATCCAACCAATTATAATGTCAAGGTACCCTATTTTCTCACCACCAAAAAACTTTTTCCCAATTATTTGTCCTTCAAGAAGATGTAAACCCTCTACCACTGATTCAACCCCCTCTGCTTTTGTTTCTCCAGAGGAGAAAAATGCCCTCTTAGCTGCTTCATAGAACTGCATCAATGATTTTTTAAAAATAGAGAAATCGTGAACCAGAATAGAAGAGCTTGCCCCACTCAAGAATAAATATTTCATAGTAGCCTTATATTAATTCGTTAGCACCACATTAAAACATTCCCCTAGACTCTAGAGCACATTAAAACATTCCCCTAGACTCTAGAGTAGTTGTTAATATGAATAAGCAAAACAACTATCTAGACAGTATTGGCATGATCCAATAATTTAACCTAACCACTTGCATCAATAATTAAGCTAGGTGGACTAATATTAAGATCTATCGCATCGTTCATAAGAAAGTGAGATTAGTATACGATGGAAAATAAGAAAATTATCCGTTACAACAAATTAAAATACACTAATATTTTTACCTTGCCATCAACAAAACGAGCCCAAAAACGACCAGAAGCTCTTTCAAAAGGATCCACAGGAAATAAAGGATTAATAAGTGGCCATGTTTCTTCAATATACTCAAGAATAACAAGTGATTCAGCTAATGAATTTCCATCATGAACAATAACAGGCACTTTATTGTAAACTGGATTAAGTTTCACAAGCAATGGACTACTTCTGCTGGAAAAATCCTGCTCAATAAATTCATAACAAATGCCTTTTAACTTAAGTGCCCACATTATTCTTTGAGTAAATATACTTTCTTTTGTGCCCAAAAGTTTCACATCTTCCATTCTTAATAATTTCTCCAACAAAATTATGATAGTATATGAAGTTTCAACTTTTTTGGGGAGTGAATGAATTTAATTTAAGTTATTCCATGCAAAATAAGATAACAAGAGGTTAGGGACAAAGTACCTTATCCCACATGCACTAGCTTTATGTCACATCTTATTTTATGTTAGAAAACCACACGTTATCACTAAGGTCTTTTTTTAGGGGTGATGATTTACTGATTTTTAAAGGAAAAAAATATATGAAAGATTCCATTGATACAAAAAAGGAAACAGCACAAATTGCTTTTAGGCCACTCTTTGTATTAATGAATAGAGAACTATGTAACATCAGAAAGGATCATATGAAATTTCATAATGAGCAAAAAATAAAAAGGGGAAAATTATGTGGCTTAGCTAACGCAACCCTCTATTTATCATTCATAGTAGTAATTTTTAAAAATTATATAGTGATAGTTTGGAGTTTAATAGCAAATATGCGGATACATTTATTATTTGCAAAGATGTAATTAAAGAGATATATTAGATACTCGTGAATATAATGAATTCCGCTATCGAACTACTATTATATATGTGCGTAAACACTTATTTTGTACGCTAATACAATATGTTTGACTATTATTATGTACATGAATACAATATATTTCATTACATTTTCAACCAAGATGCTAGTTTTATGTTTTGTAACTAACTAAAATCTCGCTATTTTTCACAAATTTGAGCTCAAAATACCAATATTTATTAATATTTCCCAATAAAATTGGAAAAACATAATAGACATACTTCACTACTATATATATATCATTATTATCTTTACTTTTAAAATATTACTTATCTTACCACTAATTAAGAGTTTCTTATGTATCTGGAGTGATTCACATGTGTCTGTGATACCATATACATGAGAGAGTGGCGAGCGAGATGAAGGATAGTGGCGAGCTAAATGGAAGAGAGGCGAGGGAGGCGGGGGAGATTTGTTATGTATCCCTGATACATGTGAATCCATTTTGGATATAATGTATCTAAAACAAATTACAGCTAGATTTGACTCCATGTATTTGAGATATCTGAACATATTTAGAGGCACTGAAATCTGATAAGATACATAATATTTAGAAGTGTCAAAAATGAGTTCGACTGTAGGTAAACTCGGAATTTTAAGGGTTGGGCTCAAGATAATTTTAAGTAAAAATTAGGCAAATGACATAGTATAAGAAAGAAATTACTTCATTTCCCTACTTTTTCATTAATTACCAAAAATCCCTTTTTTAGTGTTTTTCGGATACATAATATAGCAGCGCGGATACTTTAATTAATAACGGACGGATACTTAAATTATTAAGTTGTTGTTATCAATTATTAAATTAATAGCAGTGTGGATACTTAATAACGGGCGGATACATAATATAGCAGCACGGATACTTAAATTAACGGGCGGATGCATAATATAGTAGCGCGGATACTTTAATTAATAACGGACGGATACTTAAATTATTAAGTTGTTGTTATCAATTATTAAATTAATAGCAGTGTGGATACTTAATAACGGGCGGATACATAATATAGCAGCACGGATACTTAAATTAACGGGCGGATGCATAATATAGTAGCGCGGATACTTTAATTAATAACGGACGGATACTTAAATTATTAAGTTGTTGTTATCAATTATTAAATTAATAGCAGTGTGGATACTTAATAACGGGCGGATACATAATATAGCAGCACGGATACTTAAATTAACGGGCGGATGCATAATATAGTAGCGCGGATACTTTAATTAATAACGGGCGGATACTTAAACTAATAAAGTATCCGGTTAAGTTGAATTGGGGGAAAATAAGGGATTTTTGTATTTTAGTAAAAGAGTAGGGAAATATTGAGAATAGGTAAAGAAGTGTTGTGTATTTAAGTAATTTTTCCTAATTTTAATTGGATTCAATCTCAACTTATTCAAGCTTTAACTCATTTGAAAAGAATCATCAATTGAGCCCAATTTAATCTTCAATTTCAACCCATTTAAATATTCTTTATTTGCATTGATGTAATGTATGTTCCAATGTTGAATTAATATATGAATTACTATTTATTTTATATATTTTATGATTTATTTATCTATTTATAGCTCCTTCTTCTTTTTTAATTTTTCTACGGTTGAAATTCAAAGTATGGTTATAAAACTTAAATAACTATATATTAAAATTGTTGAAATTAAGCAGGTCAAATTAGGCTGGTCAAGACCCAACCTATTTTATGCTCATTTGAGCCCAATCCATTTGAACCAAAAGTAAGCTTGAACGGGTTAAGATCCAACCAAATATTTATTTCAACTCATTTTAGTATCTTTAATTTCAACTCAACCTACCTATTTAACACCCTTAATAATATTACAAACTATAATACACGAAGTAATTTATCTGGTGAACTAGTGAATTTATGCAAGTTTCTAAAAAAATTAGGCACAATGCTCAAAGGTAGCGTAGTTGTTTTGAGTTCCCGATGGGTCTCGGGCCCCTTGAAACGTAAAAGTTCTAAAACCTATACAGACTAGGCCTGTAATTAACCAAGTCAGAGATTCCAAGTTCTAACTGTACTTTACTTTGTATAGTTGTATTTTATATTAACTGAATTTGTAATATAATAAATATATATAAAATAAAGAATATTATAATTTTTATTACTGATTTTTGCAAAATCATAAATATATTTTTGTAAGTATTGTAATTTATCTATTAGAAAATATAAAATTCCAATAAATAAAATGACAAATATAAAAAAAAAAGTCTCAAAAATTCACTTAATATAAAACAGAGAGGGTAGTATTTAGAGATTGTTTAATCGATGCTTCATATGGAAAAAAAAAGTTATCACTTGTCCAATTAACACTAATAATTGTGTTAGTGATGAAACAACTTAACTTAAAGCTTTATGTTTTTGAATAGCTCTCTATGCTTAGAATCTTTCTAATAATTAACGCAAGGATTATAAAATTTGAGGGGTTTAGCAAAAACGGTAAAAACAGAATATTAAGTTGACTTATTTTTGTCTAACAAAGTTTATAGTATCTAATATTGAACGTACATTATTACTTGCTTTAGATTGTTGAACGAAATATGTTTTTTGTCAAGAGTATCAAATGAACGGATTAAGTTAAATTTGGAGATATTAAAATGGGTTGATAGAGATATTGAGTTGGATAATGAATCACCCAAATTTACTTTGGGTTCAAATGAGCTAGTAATCGGGTTGGGTTATGACCCATTCAATTTGACATGTTTAATCTCAATAATTTTAACATGTTATTATTTACCTTTTATAATCATAATTTGAATTTTAACTCAAACAAATAAAAAAAAGTTACAATGGATATATAAATCTTAGAAGAAATAAAATAGATTGTAGTTTATACTTTTAATATGAGAACATACATTAAACCAACGTAAACAAAGAGTTTGAAAACGGGTTAAAATTGAAGATTAAATTGGACTCAATTGAAATTTCTTTTAAAATGGAATAAGAGTTGAATGGGTAGAGATTAAACTCAATTCTAATTATCTTGAACTCAACCCATAAAACTATGAACGAATTACCTATATTTGGACTCATTATTGATGACACCCTAAATATTCATCATGAAAAGAAAAAAGCTAAACGAAATTTTCTGCTTAAAGAATTTAAAAAGGAACAATTTCTTTAATTAGAAGAGAGAAATATATAATTAATTGGGAGGTTGTTAGTTAATGGAGTACTTAATATACCTTCTTAGACTAGGTAATCAACCTTTTCAAAATCAAGAAAAGGGATGGAGAAGATTCACCAATTTGCTTGGACAAACAAGTGGACAGAAAATTGTTAGTTTTAATGTAACTTTTTATTATTATTATTATATATATATATTACCAATGTATTTATTATTATTATTATTATTATCAAATCATTTAAAAGGTATAAAAATAATATTTTTTTCTTTTAAAAGGAATTTGTAATCTTAAAATTACGATAATTTACTTATTAAAGATATGACCTGATGATGTAAAAATTTCTCATACTAATTATATGTATTATTTAAAGTCGTCATATTGACGCTGTTTTGTTTAGTCATTTCTTTTTTCTAATTAGAAACAATTAAGTAACTAAGTAAGTTATGATCTGATTTATTAGTGAAAGTTTTGAAGCTTCTAGGACCATCAAATTAAAGCAAATGATGACAGAATTAATGGAGCAAAAGATAACTTTTCAAAACATTGAGGACCCCAACAAATACCATTATTCCAAGGACTTCTACTTCAATTATTGATGATGAGTTGCAAAGAGATTTTTATTTTTAAAATTTAGTTATTTTGCAGATCATTCCCTTCTTTTCTAATGTTATGATTATCCCAAGATATTCCTTTTTGTCCCTAATTATTTGTTTTGTTTTTTTTTAGTTGTTCCTAATTACTTGTCCATTTTAACAATAAAAAAATGACAAAAAAATTTCCTTATAATATCCTCAATTAATTACTTTAAAAAAAGTTGAAATTCTTGAAAATCTTATATTTTAAATTCATCTACTTCATAATTAATATGGATAAAATGATAAATTCACTATCATATTATTCATTGATTTCTTAATAAGTATATCAATTTAAAAATAAACATGTAATTAGGGATAGTTAAAATACTTTTTAAATCATTAACTATCAGACAATCAAACTTTTATTATTAAGGACTAGATAGCAAATTATAAGGTTGTGAAGCTGCTTGGAAGTCAAATCATAAATCAAAGTTTCATTGATTTTGTACAAAGATGGTACTGTGGGGGGTCAGTTTTTATGCATTTTGATTATGTTATTATCTTCCACTAGCAAAAGTAGTAAGTAAATAATTTTGCCATCAAAACTTGAGGAGGACCTGATTGGAAGGATACAAACTTATAATTAAAATTTTGACATAATTACATAATTTGGTTTATTTGTCTGGTAAAATAATTATTTGATCGGCATGAAATTAGATGCAATAGAGATGAAGCAATTACACTCTAATTCTTAAGAAAATGCATTGATTTCAGTAAGTTTTTTTTAAATATAGATATATACTAAAAGAATATCAAATTGTGTAGTTATATTTGTGAAATCAAATAAGACATCAAAAATTACAATGTGATTATTTTATGATAAATAAACATGTTATCACAATTATTATATTATGTAATTATTTCTCTTATAACTTTCACATGAATGATAAATAAATGAAAGAAAATTACTTAATATTTTTGTCAATTACCAACTTAACCTTTAGCGGTCGTTTGATAGGAGAAGTAGGAAATAACTAATTTCTTAATAAATTTAGGATAAATTTATTTAATTTTTGATTGAGATTAATTATTCTAAAATTATATATGTGCACTAAAGATTCAATGATTATTTATTTTTTTCCATCCGATGTTCGGTATCCATATTGAAGTCTGCCTAAATTTGGATTTGCATCGGAAAGTCTCACGGGTAAAATGTCCCCTAACAAAGAAAACTATATATCTAAGGAGACTCAAATCTAAAATCTCTTGATTAAGAATGAAGAAGTACTTACCACTTCAGTTCAACTCGGATAAAGATTCATTGATTTGCAAGCATGAGTGGGTAGTAGGCAATTCCAAGAATGTCATTCATTCATATATTCTTTTCATGGGAAATGTGATGTTTGAGCCAATAAAAACTCTCTTTTTTTTTAACTCTTCCCTACTAACTCAACAAGTGCGCTTCACTTTTGAGGTCAATTTTCCTATCAAACCTTTTAAGAAATTCTAATATTTAAAAACCATTTTTTTATTACTATTATTATTTTGACAGAAGCAATAGTGAAATTAAAGAAAAATTTCCAAATTAAAAATTAAAAAATTTATGGTGAGAGTGACAGTACCTACTGAATATTTCATCAATATGAATTTAAATAAGAAGTATTTTTAGTAATTTAGATAAGGATATTCTGTATTTTGACCAGCATCCAACTAAAACTAGAATCAGATCTGAAGAAATTCTGATAGAGTAACTTTTAGCATTTAAAATAGGGCATCAAACAGTCAAACTTGTAGTCAAAATGAACCTTTTTTTTCTTTGTCACCACTTAAAGACAAAGGGAAGTAGTTGTTTTGTTTTTGTTTTTTGTTTTGTTTTTGTTAAAAGAAGTGATGGTTAGAAAGAAAGAATAGGAAGTGCTTTGGATCACATGGGGAAAGTGGTTTAAAGATTCAAAGTAACAAACACATCATTACAACTAAGAAATAAAACAACTCATTGACTACCTAGGGTATAAAGACTATATTTTATACTCATTGTATATTGTTATTAGGGAAAAAAAATTATATTATCAAATTATGATTACATCTCAATTATAAATTATAAATCTCAATTTAAATAAATTTTAATGGTAAATATTTTAAAGGATAGTTCGATAAATTAAATTCCCCCTATACGCGAAATTCGAAAAAAAATTATACCAAAATAGTCTATTATACGTAATTTTATCTTTTTGCTAGTAACTGTTTTCACCGTTCAAACTCGTATGCTCATACGATCACATGACAATTTTACTGGTTATAGAAATTTTTTCTTTTTGTAGTATATAATAGCATAAAAAAGTACCTACATCAATATTGATGCATATAACTCACATTCGGGTATAAAGTATGGTATAGTTTTCTACACTCGTCCCATGTTATGGGTACATATTTCTATTTTTAAAAAAATATAAAACTTGTTCTAAATAATAATACTAAAAAATTATTATCTTTTGTTTTACTTTTAAATTTTTATGATTACATGTGTGTAAGACCATAAAATTTAAAGTATTGAATATTACTATTAAAATTTTATCAAAACAATTATCACTTTTCACTTTTTAAGAGTAAGAATCAATTTAAGCAATTTTTATATTTAAATTAAATTAAATTAAATAAATATAATTTTTTTATACTACAATTTAATTTTTTAAGAATTACATATAATTTTTATAAATTATAACTTTTTATATTAATATGATGATAAAGTATTAATTAAAATTCATAGTACAATTTAATTATTAAAAAGTAAAATATGACAAATTTTTTAAAACAGACAAATATATGAATAGTTAACATACAGTAGAATCTAGCTAATACTGAAACAGGTGGTGTATAAAAAAGAAAAGGAGACCAATAATGACGGAGTGGTAAGTACTTTTTTTTTTTTTTAACTAAGAAATTTTGGAGTTTGAATTTCTTTGAATACAAAATCACATTTTTAATTAAGTGTTTTACCTTTAATGTGAAACTGTTCAACGTATATCTGAATTTAATCCAACTCTAATATAGATATTTGCCATCAGGTGTGAAACAAAAAATGTGTGGAGAAGAAAAGAGAATAAAGTGGTTAGTGTCATAATTAGATTAAGCAACAAGGACAAAAGACAAAAGAAACCATCAAAACCTCAACTTGTATTTTGTGACTTTTCATGAAATCTCTCTCTTCCCTAAAAGAAACACAAAAAACAAGGACCTCTTCCCCCCTTGCCTAACCTTCTTACTGCTCTCGGGTGTTCGATAATTATGTTAAAATCTGATGAAATTTAAATTTGTATAAATATTTTTTATAGTAATGCTGTCAAGAGATTTTTTTATTTTTTATTAAGAGTTTGAATTTAAAATTTCTTAATTAGGAAGGAAAAGATCCAACCATCCCACAACTTGTGTTGGTCTTTTTGTTACAATTCTGATCATCACCAACTTCACTTTACACATCATTTAAAACATCTAATGGATTTGCTTGCCCAAATACAGCAACAAAATTAATGCATATGTACACTCCTCATTTTTGTGGGGATTTTTTCTAGTTTTATTGAATTTGAAATAAAAAGTTTTTTAAAAGAATCTTTTGGGCATTAATAGCTTATATTTATTAGCATCTGGCGTGATTTAAATAATTATTAAATAGGAATTATTATCATTTTAATTGTCATTAAAAATAATTAATATTTCATAATTAAAAGATATTTTTGGCTAACAAGGCTTTCGACATTTCTTCATCAGCAAACAAAAAATAATTAATTTTTGTATATGTAGGAGGATTTGTCTAGAAAATAAGAAGCCCTTCTAACATTTTTCGACATTTCTTCATCCGCAAACAAAAAATTGATGTGGAAATAAAGAGCCACGAGGCTGATTTTTGAATAATAATAATAATAATTAAAAAAATATATGTAAAGTTTTTAAGTGAATTGACTTATTCGAAAAAGCTCTTAGCATATTAAAATTGTCTTTATGCATAAATCTCATGTGACGAACTTACTTAAAAAGGCTTAAGAAAATAGAACAAAATTATAAGTGAATCAATATTATTTCAGTTGAAGTAATTTATAATATTGTAATATAATGTTTAATGTATATCGCAAACATTGAAATTTGATATTTGTATTAGTGAAATACTCCTATTCATTACTAGAAAAAAATGAATTTTTGAATTTTTTATATATAAAAATGAAGATCTCTTATAAAATATATAGACGAGAACTTAAAAAAAATAAAAATGAAAATGGAATCTCACACGAGCATAGATTCCAGTTCTCACATGAAACGTGCGTAACAATGATTAATAGCTAGCACACATACTCACTCACTTACTAATATAAAATGGGACAAAATCAAATTTCAACTTATTATAATTCCTCTACAATATATATATATATTATAAAACAATCTCCTTAAATTGATTTAATTTTGAACATTGATTGCTCAATTGTTTGGTGTTTCTTAAGTTAAAAGGAAAATATTGTTAGCTTCTCTGCTTTCAAATGGGAAAGAGAACAACTTTATTTCCATTCTCTAGTCACTAGGAATTATACTTTGGAAAACAATTTAGCACAGTAATTATTTATACCAAACTTCATTGGTATTCCATAGTTATAATTGGTAGGTTTAGGGAAGATCACATGCTAATCAATTATGACTAGGGAGAAAGGTGTATATTCTATAGTTAGAAAAGAAGCTTAAATGGTTCGGACATATGAAGACCTTAGAGGAGTGTGAGAGGTTGACTATCATGGGTATGAGAACAGGTAAAGGTTGGCCGATGAAGTATTAGGGAGTGATGATTAGACATGATTTGACTCATCTGCAACTTAATAAGGACGTGCCACTAGAGTCTAGATAGAAGAATATGAATGTTGCAGATAGAATAAGAGCTTAGTATATAGTTGCATTGTCTAATTTTCCTTATTAGTGGTATTATTTTCTCTTATGGCATTGTGTTTTGTTCGGCTTTCATATTATTTGTTGATGTTAATGATATTCTCTACCGTATTACCTTCCTCCTTTTTTTTTTTTTTTTTGTTACGCTTTATTTGAATCGTCAAAATAGCCTTGCTATCTTCATAAGTAAGAATATGCATACACACCACCTTTTGTAGATTCCATTTATGAAATCTTACTGGATAGTTATTTTTCAAAAAAGGTTTATATTGAGAAAAAAAAAGTATCGTATATTCATTTTTTTTTTGTGAGAACATCATATCTTAGCTAGTTATTTTCCTAATACTTCATGAGTTCATTAACATTTTGATTTACTTGGAAACTAAATTTTATACTTGATTTAACACATTTTGATTTACTTGGAAACTAAATTTTATACTTGATGAGTTAACATTTTAATTTATTTGGAAACTAAACTTTATACTTGATGAGTTATCATTTTTATAAATTTGGAAATTAGATTTGTTGGCCCCATTTTATTAGATCGAATAGGTACATTGAATCTAATATATACCTTTATGTTAAACTTCAAGAAATTTTAAGACTCGAATCTTTAGTACATTCTTATTTATTAATTAATTAAGCCTACTATTTAGGCAGAATACCATCCTCCATTCTTATTTAAAAATCGTAAAAAACATAACAACTAGGAGGACGAAAAGTGAGGAATAATTACAAGTTCTTGTATAGATCCAAGTTTATTAGTTATTCCGTGATTAATGTTGAATATTTAAATTGGTAAATCTAAAACATAAATAGAGAGGAAATAAAGGAGACGAATGAGGCAAAAAGGCCAAAATACAACTAAGCATTACAAGGCTAAGCTACTTTTAAGACTAAAAAACGAAAATGTTTACTAAATAAAGCTACAAACTTCAACAAAGAAGCAACAACCCACTAAAAGATTAAAGACCCCCAACACTAACACCTAACATTTTCTAAATTATACCCTATTTTCTCCATTTTTATACTTATATCTACATAATACATGTACTTATACAAGTAGTATAAGCCTGTATACACCGAAACCCTACGTATAAACATACGTAGGATTTTGTAATTGCATTACATAATAAAACATCCGTTAGGATTTTCATCACTAAACATTTCAAACGAATCCAACGGCTGGCGTGGATACATATCCACATCGGACGGTGGAGGTTCCGTTACATGACTAGGACCGGGATACGTATACGCATACGAAGTTGGAGGTGCCGGAGCATAATACGACGCCGTATAGTTAGCCGTAGGTTGAGCCGTATTGTAGCTAACGACGTATGCTGGTGGTGGGGCGTAGAATTGTGGGCCCTGTTGCGGGTAATAATGATAAGATGGATGACGTGGAGAGCTATCATTGGTTGGGGCAAAGACTTGTGGTCCCATGTTATGATTTTCGAATTCTGGACCAGCCGGAGCAACAATTGATGGTGTGCCCTCAACGTTGTTACTGTTTTGCCCTTTCTTTTTCTTCTTTTTACCAGTACTGCCACTTGCTTCACCAACTGGGCCACCACCGTTTTTTTCGCCACTAGCAGAAGCATCATCACTATCAGTAGCCTTTTTCTCCGCCGCCACTGGAATTTGTTGTTTACCGGCAGAGTCGGTTACCGGTTTTTTACCTTCAGATTTCGATTCCTTAACTGTTTCATCGCTGTTCTCTTTTTCAGCCACCTCCGGTTTATCACCAGAGGCGGTGCCGGTTTCTTCCGCCGGTTTAGCTGAACCGGTGCTGGGTTTCTCCCTCTTTTTCAGTACTACTTCATCACTTGCATCTTCAACTTTTACTGAAGGTTCTTTGGGTATTGCAATTTTTTCATTTGATTTGACATTTTTGTGGGTATTGATATCGGGTTGGGTAGTTGATTCTGCTTCTTTGCTTTGTGGGTTAATTTGTTTCTCTTTGCTCTTGATTTTAGCAGACTTTTTCTCCTTGTGATCAGTCTCTTGTGGTACTAATTCAGCGTGTTTACCGGATTTGTGTAGTTTCCTGAGGAGAGCTTCTGCTTCTACGTTCCCAGTTACTGTTACTTTCTGTTGCTTGAGATCAATATCTATAGTATGCACTCCTGAAAAAAAAAAAAAAGAGTTTCAAGCCTCAATAATAGAAAATAACAGAATACAGAAACTCAAAAGTTGTTTTGTTTAGATAAATTAACAAGAGCATGTAAAAAGCAAAGAAGGGAGGGATATGGTTATATTTACCAGCTACTTGTTGGAGAATTTTCTTGACCTTCCTTTTACAGCCTTCACAGTGAATGGAAACTTTCAAGACCCACGTCTATATAAACAAAACACAGCAGAAAATGTTAGAACCACAAAAAAAAAAAAAAAAAGAGATTAGAAAGGAAAATAATGAGAAGGGAAGAAAACGAACCTTGTAGTTGAGGAGTTCTTCTGGTCGATCTTGTGCTGCCATTACTAAACTATAAGCGTAGAAGAAGGAATTGAAAGATTTGTTTGCTAAAGAGAAAGTATGAAGAGAGAGATTTGCTTTATTAAGAGAGAAAGGAAAAGGGGAAAATGGAGAAGAGTGAAGCGCGAAGTTATGTGAATGTTTACACGGAGTGTATTAAATACTGTCAAGTTTCGGGATTTTTCGGTTTTTAACCAACGGATCAATTGAATCTAAAATTTGTTTTGCATTATTTTGTCTTCCGTTTAGGCAAATATTACTCTTAAATAAATGAGTATTAATTATAAGTAAATGTAAATTATTTCATTTTTATTTTTATTTTAAAATTTAATCTCTCTTCGTTAAATTATTGTTATATAAAGGTGTTAGTAATCTTTGAAAATAGTTATTACTAAAAAAAATTAAAAAAAGGATAGAGTAGTTAATTTTGTTTTGAATTTTTAAAATAATAATTTAGAATCATAACAGAAAAATTTGAGATAATTAATGCCAAATTTATGATTTATCTATCATATTCTTCTTTTACATGTCATTTTACAAGATATTAATGTAGAAGGGTTTAACTATTCAGGTCTTAAAATATAATTTTTTTGTAATGAATATTTACTTTATTTATGTGTCATATTTTTAAAATTGAAATGTTTATAATCCTAAAAAATGGGAAAAGGCAAACAAATTTAATAGTAATTTTAAAAAGATAAATAATTTGAGACAAATGAAGTATTAGTTAACCTACCTGCTTCGTAACTTGGGGAGTGATGGAATAAAGGGACAAAAGAAATTTATTTGAGAAAATGGGAGAAATTTTTTGGAGTGTCTTTTAAAAAAAAGGTTATTGTGTACAATCATTTTCTGGTCGATCTTTCTGTTTTTTTGCAAGAACTTTATTTTATTCGTATCAATTTTAAGAATTTGTGGCGATAATTTTAACCAAAAATTATTTATTAACACAAATGTTAATTAATTGAAAGTATATGTACTAAGTCATATGCTACGAAGGACCAAAATTAAATGTTGAAGGTCATAATTCTTTTGAAAATAAAATTGAAAGAGTAGATCAAGCACAATATTTTTATTCGTTTTGCAAGGTCATTATTATCGTTGATAAATCTGTGAATCAAGAAATTCATTTTGATTAAATTAATCTTTTCGAACTTTCTCTTTTTTATGAACCAATAAGATGTGTGTCAAGAAGAAAAGTCCTCTAACATATAATGGAACTTTCATCTTTAATGAAACATATAACAAATAGTAAAATTAACAATTTTAAATTAGTGTGAAATTTCATCATGATTGGAGAAACATTGAATGGTACCATCTCTGAAATTGTACCTGTAAATATAACTTACTAAAAATTAAATTACGGATATTCCTTCATGAAAATTAAACTAAAAGAAAAAACTTTGCTTTAGTCTTTGTTCTTTTTCTTTTCCATCAACTTTTGTGAATGCCACATGTAGACAAAAAAAAGTAGCTAGAAAATACTAATATTTATTTTCATGCGTTTGTACGAATGAAAAAAAATAATCATTTTATATTTTTGGGCTAAGACTTTGATTTCTACGATGAGAAATATGTAATTGAAGATTTGAATTCCACTTTCTATGAAGAAAATGTACCGGATAAAGAAGAAAACGTGTATATGTGGAATTTATTTCCAGAAAAAAAAAATGTCTTTGGAGGCGGAGCCAGATAGAATCGAAGAGTTCATTTGATAGTAGATATTAAATTTTTTTAACTTTTATTTTTCTGAATTTATTTTTAATGGAAATTCTTACTTCGCTATTGTATGTCTCAGGAACATGTTCCTATAACATGTTGCTTTGTGTGTTTTAAATTTGTTAAATACTAGTACTACTATAAAAGTAGTAAAAACTTTATTTGAACAAATAAAAAGGAGACAATTTTGGATCAATGAATTTCTTAAAGAAATATTAAAGTGTGTTTTCAAGTATACTAAATCAGTAAGTTTTATCCTTTTTTTTTCGTCGAAAGCAAACCCTATATGATCAAAATCTAAACTATTATTTCTTCAAGTGGATATATATTTTTTCTCAAAACACTATAACTTTTTCCTTAAGAAAATTGTCTATCCTAAATTCCTAATTAGTAAAATTGTGTCAGGATGAAATTCCTGTCCAACGTCTTTTATTTCATTTTTAATTATATTTTTTTCCGTGAGAAGACGATGCACTTCATTTATGGTAAATAATAACTATTCGCATCGATATCTATATCATATCAAATAATTTGATTTGATTATCATTAAAGAGTACGAATATAAGCTAATTATGATTAAAAGATAATTATGTTCATAAAAATTAAAAATAGATATCTTGAATTCATTAATTTAGTAACTCTTAATGTGTAATGATCTTCAACTTTACTTAAGAATCTCAAACACAGAGTTTATAACATGTGTCAACAATTTTAATTACATGGACAAGACCATTAACCATATCATGAAGTCATCTTTAATTATTTGTAAATTAATTAATTCTTGTTCTAATAACTACTAACCATCATAACTAATGACACGACTCTATGAACTAGGAGACACATATAATTTTGAACTTGCTCATAATTAGTTTTTACAATTCTCCAATTGATAATAAATTGGATCAAATTCTTTCAGTTTCTTCTTTGAGGTTTGTTATTTATTTTAAATGTTGATTAAATTCGAATTTATATAGTAAATGTTGATTAAATTCAAATTTATATAGTAAATGTCTAAATTGAAAGGTTAAACGCTCTATTACACAAGCGACTTCTTATCTAATATACGAACTAGTGAATAATCAAATTTTAAATAGAAAAGTACTAATGACTATATCTATCAATATGGGTTGCGGTGCAGTGGTGAAGCTGTTTCATCCTTAGCCAGATGTTTCCAGTTCAAGCTTTGGGTATGGAGAAAATTCCGTTGGGAGCGCCACCTCTGAATGAGCCATGTAGTGTGCAATCCAAATTTAATCGAAATTCTAATGCAGACTTCGAACCTCAAATAAAAAACCCAAAAAAAACTATATCTACGTTTAATTTTTGTTGTACATGTTGTTACATGATTTATTATTATTTTGGATAAACTTTACTTAGCTTTATTATGTAGTCTGAGATCAAGATACATTTCTGATTTCTTTACCTGTGACTTTCACCAATTTAACGAATCATTAAAAAGCTAAACCATTCAAAAATCTGATGAATATTCATTTTTGTATGGTCTCATCTTTATTATATATTTTTTTCTTTCAAATCAAAATAATTTAGTTCTAAAATCCTTTTATGGCTTTATTATGCTAAATTTGAATTGTCACTTTATATTTGAAGGTAATATAGTTCTAGCAATAATTTAAATATCACTTATTTCCTATATAAAATAACAAATTAAAATTAAACTTGTTTAGCCAAATATTAAGTGACCACAACGTAACCAGAAATAATCAATTAGGGACTAAAAGTGCAAATATCCTTTTTTTAAAAATAAAAATTCCTTTTCTGATGAATCCTTTATCTTTTTTGTATTTGCTCTCCTCTTTTATCAATTTTCTTCTCTTTTATCTTTTCCCTTTTCTGGAGTTTCAATTCGTTTGAGATTTGCAATCATTATCGAAGAAGAACAAATTTTACCATCGTGGACATTATCGTAGAGTGATAATTATTTCTTTATTCTTAATTATAATATTTGGTTTCAAATTCCATTGGATGCAAAATCGTATTTGTCAAAGAATGTTTTATCCTCAATGTAACACTTCATAATGCAAGTTCAAAATTAATCAAATTTCAATATGTGTATAGACTATCGAATAAAGAAAAAAAAACTTTAAACAAGTATGTGACAGTGCACATGCATTGAGAGTGGACAATGTACGAGTTTTACAATAGTAAGTCCTTCAGTAGCAAGTTGGAGTAATGATACCATATGAGCTGTGGTGCAACGACGGGATTGTTTCACTCTTAATCGAAAGTTTTGGATTCAAGTCTTAGATATGGAGTAATTTCTATTGAAAGTGTCATCTTCAAATGAACCTTACCGTGCACGATTTAAATTTAGCCGAGGCTTTAATACGTAGGTTTCAAACACCAAGTGGAAAACTATTATAAAAAAAAGGCTTAACCCATCAGTGGCCCCCTAAAGTTGGCACCAACTTTCATTTAGACACCTTAACTAGACTTTGTTCATTTTAGACACCTCAAGTAAGTTTTTGTTATGTCATTTTGACACTTTTCGTGTACAAGTCATAGAGAGTGTGATACACTCGATTATTGCGCGTGGAAAGTTTATTTAGTCAATTTTCAATTATTATTTTTCTTTTCTTCCCCATTTTCCAAGTTTAACTCCATCTATGGCGGAATGTTTTAAAATTTAAGAAAATACCTATTTTAAGAATTAAATATTGAAATAATCATGAATTTTTTTTGGAGGAATTTAATATTGTCATATGGAAGTGGGTTTGATTTTTCACGCCTCTTCCATCACAGGCTTTCAAACTTTGCTTCACTTAAAGATTTAAGATTTTTACGGATATTATAAATATTAGAACTTTTATGGACAAGTTGGAAACTTTATGCCTTATGAACTGGGTTTGGTATATGATTGAGAAGGACGCGGGGTGTGTGGGTGGGGTGGGGGGGACGTTTCTGCAAATGGTTAGATTGGAGAAGACGATGAAAATAATTTCTTTAATTATTTTTTTGTAATTATATGGGCAAAAATGCCACATGTCATCGTTTTATTGGCTATTTTTTGTTTTTCTCAAAATTCATTATTTAAGAATGATGATTTTGGCACAAATGACAAATGTCGTCATTTAATTGGACACTTTACACATCATCCGCAAGTGTATCTCACACACATTACATATTTTTGCTGATTGTAAAGAAAGTGTCAAAATGACACACAAGACCTTACATGAAATGTATAAAATGAATAAAGTCTAGTTAAAGTGTCTAAGTGAAAATTGGTGTCGACTTTAGGGGATCATCGATGGGTTAAGCCTAAAAAAAAAAAAAAAAGTTGGAGTCATGATGGGAAAGAAATTAAATTGACACTTTTTTTTTGTTAGAAATTTAAATTCCTGAAAAAGACAAATATTTTCTGAAATAAAAGCCCATCAAAATTATTGATTCTTCCATCTTAAAT